TGGTGGGGCCGGCAGGTGGCATAGTGGTTAAGGTGCTGGACTCCCACATGGTCGAGCATGGTTCAGTAGAGTCTGAGCTGCCCAGGTGTCTCAGAGGCCCTGACCCCTTCCTGGAAGGTTCTAACGAGATCAGAGCCGACTGCAGTTGCCCGGGGCTTTGCCAAAGTCACACGGGTTCTCAGTCTGCATCGAGGGCCTGACCTCTGGATTTCCGCCCTGATCCTGGCCTCATCTAAACTGCCCTATCACGAAGACCCATCATTTATGGAGTGTCTTCTGGCACTAAGCCCTGTCTCACTGAGTCTTCACCACCCTCTGAGAGGCAGGTGGTGCCACCCCCTCGTACAAACTAGGAAGTTGCTACATAACTGCTCCCAGGCTGAGAAGCCCACCGGTGCTGCACTGGCATGGTCCTGCCCCTCTCCTTATGTCCACCTGCTGACACAGGGGTCTCCCTGTCTCTATCCCCGGTGACCAAGATCATCAGCCAGAGGACCTGGGGCAGCAGGGACAAGCAGTGGGGAGCCTGGCATCAACCGTGGTCTTCCCGAGGTTTACAGTGACAAGGCTGACCCAGCTAATCCGGCAGAGGCATCCCTTAGAGAGGTCCATGAGGGACCGAGGCCCCAGAGGCTGACCTAGAATCAGAGCAGCTTCTGTGGTAGGACTGCCCCTCACTCTCTTACAGACCTTGTGACCCCACTCCTACCTACAACATGGCCACTGGGACTCTGGTGGCCTCGTGTTCAACTCACTCCAACACTGCAGCACCTGTAAGACTGCTCCAGTCACACACAACACTCCCAGCCTCATGCTCCCTTCATACGTGTATTTAAAATATGCAAATATGGGCAAGCCCGACGGCCTGTGGTTAAAGGAGCCGGATCCCATAACTGCACAGTTCAAATTCCAGCCCCATGGCTTGAAAAGCACACTGGGTTCATGTGTGTGCCCCAAATCCCAACAGGACAGAGAAATGGGCAAGGTATTGTGGCGTGACCGGCCCCACTGAGAGGGTGCTTTCTCTCTCCCATTCTCTCTGGTAAGCATACATACCTTCTGGCAATTAAAAAGCATATATGAAAGGACCAATGGGTGGCATGGTGGCGGGGGTGCTGGACTCCCATACTGTCGACCGCAGTTCAAATCCCAGACCTGGCGGCTTGAAATGCACGCCGGATGTACGTGCGTATATACCCAAAATCCTGGGAGGAGAATGAAAAAGGGATTGTGGTGTGGCCATCCCCCGGGAGATGATTTCTCACTTTTCCTCTCAGTGTCTCTCTCTGTCTCTCTCCTCCCTGGTGAGCACACATGTCTTATGCCAAAAACCTTAAAAAAGAAAGAAAGAAAGAAAGAAAGAAAGAAAGAAAGAAAGAAAGAAAGAAAGAAAGGAAGGAAGGAAGGAAGGAAGGAGAAAACAAACTAGGACACCACCACAATGGACTCCATCACAGACCAGCCCCTCCCTCCACAAGACATCACCTGATCAGCCGAGCCAAGGCTGCTAGGTGTCCTTGCCGACGTGGTCCATTGTCAGGCTGCTGCCAACCCCCTTGCTGTGTGGAGTGTCCTCCTCTACTGGCTTCCCAGCTGGCAGATCAGACGCTCCCTCCCCCTAAAGTCCTTGCTTTGTTCTAGAAAGAACTGCTCACGATTTGGCCCCATCTGCCCACAGCCTTCACTGCATGTCAAGAGCCAGCGCTGCAGGATTCGCCTACAGCCATCCATCACCCTTCACCTCAAGGACTCGCCTCCACGAATTATGGCCTCCAGTCTCCACCACCAGGACCCCGTCTCACCAGGCCTGGCTAGGCAGGAACAACAGGCTGCTCAAAAGGGCCCGTGAAACCGGCTTTGGTGCACTGAGAACAAACAGGTCTCACTGACCAGTGGGCTCCGGCCCCAAGGGAAGGATGTGAAGCGCCACCCTTTCAATGACCTATGCAAACTGCTACCGTGCGACCAGGTGCGGAGACATGCTGGGAAAACTGGCTATTAAACAAAATAATAAGGAATCAAAATATACCCTTACCTCACACACTACATACAGAAAAACGTCTGAGACCCAGCCACTGTGGTGCAGGTAATAGAGTTGCTGCTGCACGGTGCTGGAGACCAGACGGAAGGGCCCAGGTTCACGTCCCAGGTCTACCTCAACACACCAGGTGTGTGGTGGCCCTGGCTGGCTGCGGGCTTCGGGGAGGACTGCAGCATGAAGACCCCGTCAAGGGTGCCTCTCTCTCAGGAGACTCTCCTGGGGCCAACTCAGAAGCTGAATATCTAAAAAGTTTTTAAAGTTTTTTAGAAATGTATTTCTTCAGAGAGAGAGGGCCCCGACAGGGTCTTCATGTCAGGACTCACCCTGAGTCTCAGCCAGCCGGGGTCACGGGTGCGTGCACTACCACACCCGGTGTGTACAGGGAGGTCACAAGATGTGAACCCACTTGTGTCCAGTTGTGTTACTCCTACACCAACTTCAGGCCCCCCAAGAGGCTTTATTTTTTTGAGATTTTTGCTATAGGGTATATGCATGCGCTTGCTGGAAAGACAGAAAGAGATAGAGAGACAGAAAGCAAGAAATCATACCCCAGGAGGGGATGGCCACACCACAATTCCTTCTCCTCTGTTCTCCTCTTGGGATCTTGGGCATGCACGCACATGCACCTGGCATGAGTTTGAAGCCACCGGGTCTGGGACTCAAACTGTTGTTAGCCATGTGGGAGTCCAGCAACCTAACCATTATGCCATCGGCTGGCCCCTCCCCAAGAAGCTTTTACACCTTGATATCCTATCTTCATTGAGCTTCGTCCTCAGCTATGGTATCTCTTATAATAATGGCCACCAGCACCACCTAAGCCTGAGACACTCACCCATCACCCCGGCAAACTGGCCAAACGTCAGCAAGCTCTGAGCAGAAGCACAGACCACGTCTTCCGGCACATCTAACCAGCATGTTCTCCTGTCCATGCCTGTCACTGTTGGCCCCTTCCCTCACCCCTAATCAGCTGTGGTTCTTTTTTTTTTTTTGGAGAGGTTTTTGCTATAGGGCGCATGCACTTGCCAGAAAGACAGAGACAGAGAGACAGAAAGCGAGAAATCATCCCGCAGGGGGGATGGCCATGCTGCAATCCTTTCTCCTCCATTCTCCTCTCGGGATCTTGGGCATGCACGCACATGCACCCAGCGTGAGTTTAAGACACCAGGTCCGGGACGTGACCCATGGTCGACTACATGGGAGTCCAGCGATATAGCCATTGTGCTAACTGCTGGTCCCAGTGGTTCTTCACAGCCCCATATTCTAGAAGCAGCAGATGGGGATGCTCCTAATGCAGACTGGAGGTCACAGCATCCTAGGAGAACCTCTTCAACAAATCACCAGCCTGACCAGGCCAAAGGCTCCCAGAATAGCTGTGGACACTGGGATTAACACAGGTTACCTGGCCGAACAGTCACCTGCCCTTCTTCCCCTTTTCAGAAAGAGGAGCTGGAGTCCAGGCCTGCCTGGAGAGGGCCGGAAGACTACTGGGCAGTTTCTGATAGTCTTCAGAGGATCCTGGGGGGAATCTCTCAGTCTTTACCTGCTTAGAGTTGGTCAGGTAGAGCTTGGCCGCCAGGTTGATGACCTGCAGCTTGACGATGTCCTCCTCCGCTGTGAATGACTTGGCCATTTTTCTCAGGACATCAGGTGCAATCCTGGGGACGTGCTCGCAGTACTCCCCAATGAGCCACAGGATGCTGGCTCGGGCCATGGGTACCTGTGGGGGTGGGAGAGGAGTTGGGATCAGGGAGGACATGAGGACATGAGGACACGGGTGGGGTCCTGGACCGCCAGGGAAATGGCACGCTCCCCTCTGGGCTTGTGTATTATACCGTGGATTCTCTGGAAAGAGGAGTGGGGCTGTTGGGAGAGAGGTCAGAGGGTGAGCATTTCCTGGACTGTAAACCCTACTTCATTAGCATGGGCAGAGCCTTCACGGCCCAAAGTCAATCAGGGTTTAAAGAACTGGTATTCTAGATTCACTGCGCCCTCCATGCTAAACGCCATGTTACTCTTCCTGAA